CTGTGTATTCTTGCCATCTTTTCCTAATCTCTTCTGCTTCTGTTAGGTCCCTACCGTTTTTGTCCTTTATCATGGCCAGCTTTGCATGGAACGCTCCCTTGATTTCTCCAATTTTCTTGAAGAGATCTCTAGTCCTTCCCATTCTATTGTTTTCCTCTGTTACTTTGCATTGTTCATTCAGGAAGGCCTCCTTATCTCTCCTTGCTGTTCTCTGGAAATCTGCATTCAGTTGGGTAAATCTTTCCTTTTCACCTTTGCCTTTCGCTTTCCTTCTTTCCTCTGCTATTTTTAAAGCCTCATCAGACAGCCACTTTGCTTTCTTGCATTTCTTTTTCTTTGGGATGGTGGTGATTGCTGCCTCCTGTACAATGTCACGAACCTCCGTCCATAGTTCTTCAGGCACTCTATCTATCAAATCTAGACCCTTGAATCTATTCTTCACCTCTACTGTATATTCATCAGGGATGCGATCTAGGTCAAACCTGAATGGCCTAGTGGTTTTCCCAATTTTCTTCAGTTTAAGTCTGAATTTTGCAATGAGTAGCTCATGATCTGAGCCACAGTCAGCTCCAGGTCTTGTTTTTACTGACTGGATAGAGCTTCTCCATCTTTGAGCCATCTTTGACTGCAAATTATATAGTCAATCTGATTTCGGTGTTGCCCATCTGGTGATGTCCATCTGTAGAGTCGCCTCTTAGGTTGTTGGAAAAGGGTGTTTGCTATGACCAGTGTGTTCTCTTGACAAAACTCTGTTAACCTTTGCCCTGCTTCATTTTGCTTTCCAAGGCCAAACTTGTCTGTTATTCCGGTTACCTTTAGCATTCCAGTCCCCTATGATGATGAGGACATCAATCCCTACTCAGTCACAAACTTCACTAGGATGAAATTTGGTTATTCTCTCCTCATTATGAGAATAAAGAGAAATAGGACCCATGAGCCCTGCCTCTCAAGTGGACAGGTAGGAATATCTACTATTCCAGCCACATTTATGGGGAAGCAAGTCCCTTTGATTCCAGAGACTAGGGTTGTAGCCCTTGGCAGATATATCTTATACACTCATGTTCACACAAATTGAGAATAATCTCATAGACAAACAGATTCTCCTTTGCTCTGGCTGTGTCATTATCCACCTTTGTCTGAACGTACTTTAACTCCCTCTGTAGCTACAGTGGAGAAATGACAAGCAAATCCTGGTAGGAACCTGGAATATTACGTTTATTTTTTTTTTTACTGTAACCTTGCCCAGTAGAGAAAGCAAAATTCAAGACATTGTAGAACAAAGTTAGAGTCCAGTGGCACCTTTAAGACCAACAAAGGTTTATTCAAGGTATGAGCTTTTGTGCGCAAAACACACTTTTTCAAATACAGTGGAATGGGAGGTAAGGTTCAAACTTATAGACAGGGGCTGAACAGCAAATTAACATGTAACATGATGAAGATGTTTTAAGCTATGCAAAAACAGAATTAACTAACAAGCTAAGGTTATGTCAACAGTTGTAAAGCAATAAATATGTCAAGATAAATTTGAGACTCTCTGAGAGTGAATGAAGAGTCTCAAATTTATCTTGACATATTTATTGCTTTACAACTGTTGACTTTATAACCTTAGCTTGTTATTTAATTGTTTTTGCATAGCTTAAAACATCATCATAATGTTACATGTTAATTTGCTGTTCAGCTGTCTATAAGCTTGAACCTTACCTCCCATTCAACTGTATTTAAAAAAGAGTGCTTTGCACATGAAAGCTCATACCTTGAATAAACCTTTGTTGGTCTTAAAGGTGCCACTGGACTCTAACTTTGTTCTCCTGCTTCAGACCAACACTACTTACCTGGATCCATCTTCAAGACATTGTGACAGCTTGAAACAAAACAGAAATCCCATCATCTACCTTTTGATTTACATACCTCACCTTGACAGAAGGGAAGTTTATGCTATCAACAAAATATGGAAACTAAAGGAGGCTAGGGGTGACTTTGTTGAACTCTGAATTGTTAAAAAAATTGTGATATTGTTACATCAGCAAAATCTCCTTAATGCTCAAGAACTGGAATTTGTGGTTTTAGCAACCACACTCAAAAGGGTTTTTTACAAAGAAAGTCAGTGCTGCCACAGATTTTGCAGCCCTGAAAAAAGGGAGAAACAGGACTGTTTAGGCAGATTATCTCCAAAGCAGTAGGATTAACCATTTCCTTCCATTGCTCTTCTCCATGTTAACTGATGTTACCTCTTCTTTTTCCCCAGAGAAAAAGGGACAGGAAAAACTGTCATACCTAGATTTCCTGAACGTAAAGGGCAGATCAGGGTTGGGTTTTTTTAATAAAAAGAAACAGCAAAAGGGCAATCCTCTGCACACATTAATTTGGGAGAAAGCCTTATAGAATGCAATGGGATTTATTTCTAAGCATTTATTGGAACCATCTAGGAAGGTAGGCTGGAATGGGTATGGTGTTGTTGGGTTCTACCACGTCCAATGCTCCTGTTGCTGTGTTTGCTTAGTTGATACCACAATCCTATGTATCCTTACTCAAAAATAAATGTACTGTGTTCTAGCAGGACTTATTAATATTTCACTTATATGACTGCTGCCTTAGTTGCTCTTACTCAGCTCCTGGTGTCAGGGCCAGGAGTAAGGGCAGAACACAAAGCTGATTTACAAAATGGTGGCAAACTATTTATTTTACTTACATAAACATTTATTAGCCACTTTTCTCCCTTGTGGAACTTACAATATAAATAAAACATTACAAAAACACAATAAAACAATAAGTATACAATCAATAAAAGTCAACCATTTAAAACCTCCAAATAGGACTGCCAATAATAAAGGCTGATTTATTTATTTAAAATCTAGTGCTAGATTTATAATCCACCTCACACCAAAATTATTGGCTTTGAATTGATTTAGTCCCAAATCAGACACCAGCTGGTTTAAATTCAAGAAATTTTGTTTTGCTGGCTAAAAACATCGCACAGAAAAGAGAAAATGTAAAGATGTGAAAACACTAAATTAGTTTTCATTTTGCAAGATGCCATAGATGCAAAGAAAGTAGCCATGCCAGGGATAAGCAGTTCCAGTACGCATGTACAATGGTAGCATACCAGCACATTCTGCCTGGCTCAACAGCTTCTGCACTCTATCCTAAGAGCAGGGGTGCAGTTGACAAACTAGAACATAGGCCCAGAATTTTTTGGTAGTTGAATCAAAGACATCATCAATGAGATCCTCCTCCTCCTCCAAGCCCCACTCTCCCAGACCCAGTGAGTTTATTTACCGGTACTTAATTTATAAATGCCACTTTCTCCCCAGAAGGAAGGAACCCAAAGTCCCCAGAGGGGGCATTGTTCTGTCCTCTGTTTTATTGTCACAGTGAGGTGTGACTGGTCTGCGCTTACCCAGGACGCAATGGGGACATGAATCTGGGTCCCCTGGATCCTAGTCTTAATATTGTAACCACAACATCATTCTGGCTCTCCAGCAGTCCCATGATGACAGTGGGTTCTGAACTGTGCAAGGGCAAAACTTTGCTGCTTAATGCACTCACACCATAAGGCAGACTTCATCAGGTTGCTGGCTACCCATGCAGTACCAATAGGGAGCAGAAACTACTGCTCTACTTAAGTGGAAAGCAGGGACTGGAGCTGCCTGAAGCAACAAGGGAGTTAAGGTCTGTTTGGACCAGCCTCACACCAGTACGCTGCTAACACTCTTATGTACTTTCTAAGACCAGACTTTACAAAAGGCCCATTTGGAGAAGGCAAGACAGTTTTATTAAAACATGCAGACACACACACACAATAGCCTTCCATCTTCTGTTAAGTGCTGAAAAGTACTGGGTTCGATGCATGGAGAACTCGGACCACGACATTCAGACGTGTTTATTTTACTTCACAACAAGACACACAAAAGCAAGGCCAATTATATACACTCCACCTGTCCCCACTGGAGCGTTTGAATCTCCCGCCAAGGGTGCTATTGATGGACTCCCTGTGGACTGGGATGTTTGGGGACCAAGCGCCTGCTTTAACCATCAACCCCTGGTGGCAGTCCGCATACATAACAAGTGCAAATGATGCAATCTGCCTTTCTACAAATATACCCCGCAGTAGGGACCGCCCCACACTGACAGCCATACCTAATTTCAAAACTATAATATCTGTACTAATTTCCCTCATACATAGGGTCTTCTTCATTCCTGGCTAACCATAAACATTCACCTTAAAAAGATTCCCCTCCCCAGGGGTCATTTCATAGAAAAAGAGGTGCATGAGCTTATTAGCATAACCTATTAGCATATACCACACCCCCTGACATCACCGGAAGTGTCAGAAGGCAACGCCCACAGCTCAGGCTCCTCTGGGCTTGTTGGGATTGCTAGCTATTGGGGGGGGGGGGACGTGCAGATCTGCCCTGCAGAGGAGGGAGAGCTTGTACCTGGATAAAACCTGGTCTTAAAGGTGCCACTGGACTGTTTTGGAGGGGGGGGGCTCTGCAGCTGACTTGGCTGCTTCTTGCTCTGACTGAGGGCTGCTGGGAGCAGGGGGTGGGGCTTGTTGCATGTGCCCACCCCCTGGACTCTTTACTGCTGGAGCTCTGCCTGCTCCTGTGCGCTCCTGCAGGGAATGACCCCTGCCCCTCCCTCATAATCTAACCACTCTCTGCTAGCCCATCTTGCCTCAGGAAGTTACTTGCAAAGGTCAGCTGAGGGAAACAGCAGCGAGGGCACAGATCCTACACGGATATTTTTGCTCCCGCCAATCTTCGGCTCTGAGAAGCCCTTCTTCTTTCCCTGCAATAGGCAAGACGAGGGGCGACCTTCTCCAGAGAGAGGCCGTATCCCACGGACAGTCCCCGGCGCAGATAACCCGCCCCATCTTCTGGTCCGCGCGCATTCCGTGCGAGCGCGCCCCCTCGCTTCCGCAGCATTCCTCGAAATAACGCACCGCGAAGGAAGGAGGAGTGACTTGCTGGGCATGCGCCTGACGTGGCGAGCTATTGTGTTGCCTGGCACGCTCCAGGAGGAGAAGAACCGGAAGCTCGGCGCTGAAGCAAAAGTTTAGAAGCGGGGCGCTGGCATCTTAGCCCAAGGTAACGGAGATGCTGCAGTGGAGGGCGCAGAAGGGAGAGGGTTGAGGAATAAGGATACTGGGTTGTGTGCTTAGAAAAGATCGTGTACGCGGGTTGTGGTTCGGGACACACTAACTAGGTTATAGAGAGATGTGTTGGGCCGTAGGAAAATGCTGAGCAAATCAGAACCACAAAGACTAGTCGGCTAATAGCTTTCATTAATGCCAGCCGATCAGGACCTTCTGAGAGAGTAAGACCTGATGGATTAAGTGGGGCTGCAGAGGTGTTTAGAGGCTCGCTGCAATCTTTTGTACTGTTTAAGGACATTGATCAGAGCATTGAACTGACTTCCGAGTAAACTTGCTGCGCTCCGGGCTGCAGGAATGACAGTGGTCTTTGAATTAACAGGCTTTTTCTGCCTCGGTTTGTGCAGGAGTTCTGTAATCGTTAATATGTCTGAAATCAAGCAAAGGAGGAAAACTAATATTTTAGCCAAACCAAATGAAAATCAACAAAACCCGGACAAACAGTCGGATTTGGGGACTACCCGTAGTCCTAAATCTTTTTGGGTGGACGCACGAACAGCTGCAAGCTGCCTGTCTCTCACAGCCTGTGTCGGCTTAACATGGTAAGCAAAATTACAGGGAACTGGTACCTGTGTCTGTGGAAAGTGGTCTGAACCAATTTTTTGCTTGTTTAATTTTAAAATAGTCTTAGTGAATTAACTGCAATAATAAAATTATAGTCAACAGAAATAATTGTAAACATTTACAATGGCTTATCCAAATAAAAACAACATGTGTAAATAACTAAAAAGGTGTCCCTTATTAAAACAAAAAAGATTCATACTTTTTCAAAATAATTGCTTAATTCTTGGTCAGCATATCTGCCTGTACCTTTTTTTCAATGCCAGGTCTTGTTGTGAGGAACCCTGCTCATCTATATTTAATTATGGTAACTACTGTATTGAAGGTTTGCCTGTTCCCCTATGAATTTGCCCATTCTCCAACATTATTTTCAGGGACCCTTATCCAGGTCTCTCTGCTTCTGAAATTTAATGAGTGGTTACCAGAGAAAGAGCCTTTTCTGTGATGACAACCAAACCATTGCTTAACTTCCCAGAAATACTTATAGGGTGTCAGCTTTAAATTGTAGGCATCAGATTATTTTATTCTCCTGAAAATTTAACTTGAATTCTGTTCTGTTATATTAATTGGTTTTATATTTATATGATATTGATCAGCAGCTCTCTACTGCTGGACTAGCCATTGCCAGAACAAAGTATGGCAGTTCCTGATAACATGTTAAGTGACTGAGAAATTGGAAGAGTGAGGACAAGATACACGAAAGTTAATTCAGGAGAGGGAGCAATTCATGGGTCGAATTCATTTTCTACATACTTTTGGCAATTGCAGGGACAGAAGTGCAATTATTCTACTTTTCTCTCCAAAGGGTACACAAATCAGATTACAGCATTTTGCCCTTCTGTGGTAGGCTATAAGCTGCGTGTGTGTGACTGGCCCAAGGTCACCCAGCAAGATTCCATGGCAGAGCAGGGATTCGAATCTGAGTCTCCCAGAGCCAGGATTTACCACATGGTTCAAAGACCAGCTGTTCAATAGATTAAAAAACAAAATTATAAAATATAAACAAACTGGCAGTATATTTTAAGAATATTTGTTGTGGCAACTATTTAATAATAACTAAATACATAGGTATTTCTGAAAAATACAATAATAATAAAACATATATAAGTACTTCTAAAAATAATTGCATATATTTTGGAATAAGTGAGGGATGAGGATAGGGCATTCTACCTATGTGCAAGTGTAGGCATGAATCTGAATGCTTGTATCTAGGGATAACTGGTAAAAACAAAGTTCTCCCATGTATTTTATATAGGATGCTGCTTTGGAGATACTGATGAAGCTTGTGGAGCAGGACATTATGCATATGATTTGTTTTAATCATATAAGTTCCCTTATGAATGCCAGTTTTTGCCATTTGTGCCTCAAAGTCATCATTTCCCTGACTGAAATCAGACTGATTACAAGTAATTCTACATGAGTATGCTTGGAAAGATTGAAGGTCAAAGAAGACGGGGACGGCAAAGGATGAGATGGTTAGACAGTGTCATCGATGCAACGAACATGAAGTTGAGCCAACTTCAGAGGACGGCAGAAGACCGGAAGGCCTGGAGAGAGCTCGTCCATGGGGTCGCGAAGAGTCGGACTCGACTGTGCGACTGAACAACAACAAATGCTCCTTTCAAGATCAGATCATAAAGCTATCATTGTAAAAAAAAATTAAGGTCCTGCTTGTAACAAGGGAACTTTCTGCAGGAATTTTTTCCTGCATTGCTAAAAGCCAGTGGTACTAAACTTTTCTTCCATTTCTGTTGTGATGGAATGCTGTGTTCATAGAAGTTTCCACCACATCAAGGAACAGCAAGGTCTCCTTGGTTGGCTAGAGGTTTCTATGATAAATTTTGGTGAAACTCTTTAATTCTTGCCCTATATGTGACTTATTTTGTTTTTGTATATTTTTCAGGTTCCTTTTTCAGCAGTCAGCTCAACTTGCTGCTGTAGAGGAAAAGTACCATTTATTGAAGCAAGAAGCTGTGATGTTTCAGGAGATGGAAAATAAAATTGAACTAATGTCCACAAAGGTAATAATTCAAAATATTTCAATATCATTTTATGTTATTTGGGAGAGTCTTTCCTAAAATCTACTGGATATTCTTAGACAGCCATAAGAACAAAGGAACATAAGAGACGCCAATGTTGGATCAGGCCAAAGGCCCATCTAGTCCAACACTCTGTCACACAGTGGCCAAAAATACCAGGTGCCATCAGGAGGTCCACCAGTGGGACCAGGACATTAGAAGCCCTCCCACTGTTGGCCCCCCCCAAGCACCAAGAAGACAGAGCATCATTTGCCCCAGAGCCCCTATCTATACCTTGTGGCTAATAGCCACTGATGGACCTCTGCTCCATATGCCTATCTAATTCCCTTTTGAAGCCAGTTCAGTTTACCTGCCTGGAGAACCTTGATTATTCTTGCAATGAATCATGGTAATATCTTAACTGAAATTATTGCTGGGCTTCTTTGCTAAAAATCATTTTATTGTTTGGAAAATCATCCCCAATGCATTAGATGGGAAGTAAGAGCCACATACACAAGCCAAGGGCTTCTGTGCCTGTACTACAGCTTTCTTGACTGTTTTCCTTCTAACTGCCGAAGCTCCATATATCATAATCTGCCTGTTTTGAAATCCTTTTTTACACATATGACTGGATTCTACCAACTTTTCTGCTGTTGCAAGAGGAAGGATGATGTTATCCAACCGGCCCTCCTCACTGCAACCGTGTTCCATGTGGTTTATACTCCATATGGATCCCACAATCCCTTGTATATCCTTTTATAGATATAAATGGGGCCAGCCCTTTCACCATCTTGCATCAGCAGAAAAGATGGTAGTATTTAACCCATAGCTTTGCACTAAACTGAAATTGCAGTCATTGTTTTAATAAAATATGCCTGTGATTTACATAATAATTCATAGTGTGATTAAACATTATCTAATAAAAGCATTGATTGCATAACTGCTTATTTTGTAAAAAGAAACGGTGCCAGGTACTTAAGTGTATATTATAGTAAGCTATATGCGTTAAGAGCGGTTTAATTGCTATTCTGCAAGTGGTAGAAAAATTGGTTTGCTGAAAGTTGTGGCTTCTTGTGATGCAGATTCATGAAACTGTTGATGGAACCAGACTGCTTGACAAATCTTATTTACTCAGAAGTTAGTCTCTAATATGAGAAGACTTATGATTCTGTTACCCTGGCACCAGAGCCCTCCACAGGTACAAGGTGCTTTGAACCTCTGGAAAAGATAGCAGGTGGCTCTAATTGTAGCAGAATGGATAGAATCCATGCCATATTGTGTTCAATAAAACTTACAAGCATATGTAGAACGGAACATTAATCTAGTCTGCTTGATCAGACCAATAGTCCATCTGCTCCAGCAAACTGTTTCACACAGCACCCAGCCAGTTACTCTGGATGGCCAACAGGGCATAAAGGCCTAAATGTTTTCTTGTTAGTACTGGTATTCAGAGGTTTGCTGCTTCTGTATAGAGAGGTTCCCTTTATTCTCCATGGCTATTATCCATTGATGAACCTCTGTTCCATCTATGTAAACCCTTTTTAAAGCCATACCCCTCCCTTAAAGACATTGTAGTACAGCTTTGATATCTTAAAATCACATTGATATAGGTTAGTATCTACTTAGGCAGAAAGGTATCTAATTAGGCAGAAAGATATGTCCATTGGACTCAGTGGAATTTGCTTCTCAATAGACATGCTTGGGAATGGGCTCAAAAGTACAATCCAAGCACATGGAGCTCTGTTTAACATAGTGGGCTTTACTTTTAATTAAGCTAATCAGATCAGTCTTTTATAGACTTTTGTGTTCAACTAAACAGTGTTTTCACAATAGAAAGGTAAATAATAGAAAGGTAAATAAGGATCCTACCATGGGGTCAGTGGGAGGGGGAAGCACGTCACTCTGAATCGTCTGTTCTATATATGGTGCTAGTACTTGAAGTACTCTTTGTGAATAGGATGGATATTGTGTTATAGGGGCTTTACTAATGTAAATAGAAACAGATTGGAATAAATTAGCAGATTGACTTTATTATATCCTAATCATTTGAATTGAAAAGGTTTAAAAAGATAGTTAAAGCTATAGTATTTGGAAGAAATACATGAAGCAAGAAGAAATGTCATTTAAGAAAATCTCTCAGGTATCTACTGATTTCCCCCCCCAGTCCAACCTGTATTAAGTATAGATGAACATTGTTTGTGTTACAAATGCAGCTTGAGTCGTCTTTGGAAGTCCTGCAGGAGGCCTCTACATCTGTCTCTGTGATGACCAAGCTCGAGCAAGAAGTAGCCAGCCTTCTTAACATCATGCCTGACATTCTAAACAGCAAGCAGACACTTTCTGAAAGGTTTCATAGCGTGAATGAGAAATTCCAGAATGTCACAGTCTCCTGGAAAAGAAGCCTAGATGAAATGGATACAAATACTAGTAGTTTGAGATCAGAAGCCAAGTTTTTACACAATGAAGTAACCACTCAAATCAATACAGTAGATTCAAGAATAAAATCCCTTTCTGAAAGATTAATAGATCTGGAAGACAGTACAATAAGAAATGTTAAGATGTTAAACAGGCAGGAAGAAGCTGATTTATCTAAAATGGAACAGCGGCTGCAAGCTGATGCCGAGTCAGCTAAAGAAGTGGAAGAAAAGCAGAATAATCTTTTAGCCAGAAATAGTGACCTAAAACAGAAGATTGCAGATTATGAGCCCAAAGTGGGAGAATGCAAGGCCCATTTACCAGTAATAGAGAGTGCTATTCACTCAGTGGTTAGATTATCAGGTGATCTAATTGGTATAGGGAAGATGGTTGAAGACATGTCTCTGAAGGTGTCTAATGCAGAAGATGAAATTGTGAAAGCCAAACTTGAAATAATGAACATACAAAAAGCTGTTGAAGGCATTCAGTATAAGAACAGCTTATTAAAACTGCAGAAGGAAACACTTGTTTTAAAAATTCATGACATTACAGAATCTACAGCAGAGATAACAAAAGAACATTATTTAGAAAACCACCAACCTGTGAATGATATGAAGTGATTTGAGTCCCCATGAGTAACTTGTTCATTTCAGTTACAGAACTAAAAAGTTACTTGACTGGGTCTTTGCCTTTGATCTGTTGTTGTTCAGTCACACAGTCGAGTCCGACTCTTCGCAACCCCATGGACCACATCACGCCAGGCCCTCCTGTCTTCCGTCCTCCAGAATTTGCTCAATTTCACGTTCGTTGCATCAGTGACACTTGTCTAACCATCTCATCCTTTGATTTTACTATGCAAATGGAAAATCAATCTATTTTTTAAAATGTCATGTACATATTTTTAAATTTAAGTAATTCAGACCAAAAAATTAAGGAATTTTAAGCAATGATATTTAAATTATTGCTATTATTATTATTTATTAGATTTATGGGTTGCCCATCTGGGTGATTAACAACTTTAATACAGTCATCATTAAATAAAATTATCACAAAGTACTAATAACAGTCAGACCAGACGGCAATATCCACCCCTTTCTGCCGGCTGCAGTACTGTTCGCGCAGCAAGTTTGATTTTAAAATTATATTTATCTTCTGGAAGTGTTCTGTATAGCATAATTTAGTGTTTATTGGCATTCCATTGTGTTTTTTCTAAACTCTTTCTCCTATTACTGGCCATTGACTTGTTGAGCTGCCACTGTACAGTTTCTTAAGATAAAGTTCATTTGCTTTTTTTATTGCTTTGAATGTGTTGATGGAAACAAATCTGGGAACTGTTCTTTAAAGAAAATGTACATTCTATAGTTAATACAATACAAATGTCGCCAGATAATGATCCAGTAGTAAGAAGAACTCCAGAAAGTAAAGGGCGGCTGTATATCAACAATGGGTATTACCCAGTCTTCAAAACTGCTTGCCAAGATGCCAAATCCCCTGGGGCCAGAGAGTGTTCTACTGTGGCTAATTTTGCACGTTTAAGCCCACTGTGTGCCCTACCTGTTTCTGTCTTTGTCGCAAATTTGGAGGCTGCAGCTGGTGCAGAATGCGGCGGCCAGGTTGGTAGCGGGTGCCTCTAGATGGAACCACATCCAACCTGTGCTGAAAGCGCTGCGCGGGCTGCCTATAGCATTCTGGATTCACTTCAAAGTGCTGGTGCTTACCTTTAAAGCCCTACATGGCCAGGGTCTGGCATACCTGAGGGACCGCCTTTCCCCACACAGGCCCCAAAGAGCACTTTGGTCGGGGTCACAACACCGCCTAGTGACCCCGGGCCCCAAGGAGGCCAGGCTTGCGGCCACAAGGGCTAGGTCCTTTTTGGTGGTGGCTCCTACCTGGTGGAAAGAGCTCCCGGAGGAGATCAGGGCCCTGCGGGACCTGGTACAGTTCCGCAGGGCCTGGAAGACGGAGCTCTTCCGCCAGGCTTTTGAGTAGGAGCTGCTGCCACTACCACCACCGTGCAACTGCAGAGCAGTTCCGCCGCGCTGGGCTGACTGGCCAGCTGAAATATCGTGGCCCATGGCATCCCCCCCTTTTTTTGACCCCATTGGGATATGCAATAGGGAGTAAGTATTGTAGTCATTATGTATCCTGTTTTAACTGTTGACTTTTACTGCACTTGTGCCTTAATTGTTTTAACTTGTTGTATTTTTATCGCACTTTTGTGCCTGTGTAAGCCGCCCTGAGCCCGCGTGCGGGGAGTGCGGGGTATAAATGAAATAAAAAAAATAAAAATAAAAGGGCTGTGGGTTTTTTTTAAAAGTTTACCTGTCCAACAGTCAGTTTCATTCTAAATTATGGCTCTGTTTGATAGGGTTGGAGTTGGACTGTATATATTTAGAAACATTAATACTGTCCATCATATGTCCTTCCAAACAATGACCACAGTATTAACTTTGTGTGGTAGATTAGTATTAACTTTGGTTACCTCATATCTGATCTTAAAGGCAGGCTAATGAAGTTATTGCTGGGGTGTCATCAATACGCAGATGACACCCAGCTCTATTTGATGTTGGGCGGCCGGTCGGGCTCCAACCCAGAAGATCTGCACCGGGCTCTGCAAGCTGTGGCTGGGTGGCTCAGGCTGAAGTTAAACCCGGCGAAGACGGAGGTCCTGTGCTTGAGACGGACCGAAACAGGGTTAGGGCTTCCACTCTCGAATTTCGACGGGGCGCCTTTGGTGCCAGCTTCGGAGGTTAGGAGTTTGGGAGTGCTCCTGCACCCTACCTTAACGATGGAGGCCCAGGTGGCGGCCACTGCCAAATCGACCTTTTATCATCTTCGGCTGATACGGCAGCTGGTTCCTTTCCTTGACCGCAATGACCTAGCTACAGTGATCCACGCGACGGTCACCTCGAGGCTAGACTACTGTAACGCTCTCTACATGGGGCTGCCTTTGTCGCAAATCCGGAAGCTACAGCTGGTGCAGAATGCTGCGGCCAGGTTACTGGTGGGCATCCCGAGCTGGGAGCACACCCTACCTGTCCTGAAAGCGCTGCACTGGCTGCCTATAGCATACGGGATTCGCTTACCTTTAAAGCCCTACATAGCCTGGGTCCGACATACCTGAGGGACCGCATTTCCCCATATATTCCCCAAAGAGCACTTCGGTCGGGGTCACAACACCGGCTGGTGACGCCGGGCCCTAAAGAGGCCAAGCTGGCGGCAACGAGGGCCAGGTCTTTCTCAGTGGCGGCTCCTACCTGGTGGAATGAGCTCCTGGAAGAGATCAGGGCCCTGCGGGACCTTGTACAGTTCCGCAGGGCCTGCAAGACGGAGCTCTTCCACCAGGCATACGAGTAGGAGCCGCCACGGCCACCAACACCACCGCCCCTTTACAGAGAGAGATCGCTGGGGTGGTTGAGTAACATCTTTTTATCACCCCGGCCTTCCCCACGCCCCCCTGCCCCTGCTATGCAAAGTGTGATGAGCTTATATGTGCATCCGCAGAATTGATCTTAATTTGTTTTAACTTGTATTTGTATTATGTATTTTTGTTATGTATTTTTGTTACTGAACGCACTTAGTGCCCTATGTGAGCCGCCCTGAGCCCATTCGCAGGGAGGGCGGGGTATAAATATATTCTCCCCAGTACTGATTAGATCAGGGATAGGCATTCTAAAACATGCATGCATAACAGTGGCACACCAGACTTTTGCTCAGCGCGGCACTTCCTTGCTTAACCCTAAAATGCAGGGGTTTAGTCAGGCTGGGATGAGTTCAGGTCACAGTTGGGGGGCAGGCTGGAAACCAGATCCTGAGAAGAGAGTCTACTCTTGTAGGGCAACAGTGGTTTAAAATGAAAATTTGAAATAGTATGACAGCCTTGAGTGTAAGCTCTCTTGCTGGCACCTTCCTGCCACACTTCTGCACAAGCATCTTAGGACCAAACATACAATTACAGACAGCAATCACATTCTCTAGTGATGTTATGAACTCAAAACTACTGATGTTTTATAGCAATATTTCTAAATCAGCCTTATTTTCATCTCACATTCTCATAAAAAACAACCCACAGGTAAAATACATCTAGAAAAGTACCACCACCCTTCCCCAATCCATTTGCGAGGACTCCTCTTCCCAGATAAACAAAAGTTTTTATGGCAGTTGGATCAAGGTTTAGTCAGAAAAAGATGACTTGGTAGGATGAACAACTACTACAAATACCTAAAAATATATTTTAAAAAGGCTATGGGAATGCTGCCACCTTATCTGTACCATGCTAGGTACAAAACTGATTTGATACAGAAAGAGCTTCTAAAAAAAAGAGGGTGGGAACCAAGAAAGAGCAGCTGTCATGCAGAAAAATAAAAGCCAACAGTAATTCAGATTCATCGTCCAATTTATTACTAGTGTTTTATAATTTCAAAGGAAAACTATTTCTTACTTTGTAACAGTCATTCTGTTTGCACTACACATCTTTGCAAATACCTTTCATGCTAAATGGTTCCAGGAACTCAAAAGTTACTCTCTGTTTTGTAATGCTTGTTGCTTGTTTTCAATAAAAATGTTCAGCACGTCTGCTGCTTTTCGTGCGTTAAAAAAAAGAAAAGCAACAACGGATCAGTGGGGGGGGGGGGGGGTTACCTCATATACTTGCTAATGGTCTTTTGTAGAGATCAAGCTTTAAAGTACCAGGTATTCATCTCATTTTACCGAAGCACCTTAACAGGCTAAAAACTACATTTTGAAAGGTTTAAAATAGTACCATATCAGCTTCCCCCTCTTGTTGGAAAACTAAAGTACAATGCATATACAATGTTTTACATTTGTGCTGATCTCTGCAATGCCATAACTTATGTGTGACACCTGAACATTTTTCCTCTTTCCTTTTATGTGTTTACTGAGTAACAAGCCAAAAGTACTGCTACAATAAAATTTAAAAAACGTTTTTCCTTTTCAATCCTAGTGTGAGAAGACAGTCAGCTTAGTGGAACAACTAGAAGAGCTTCAACTAATTGCTCAAATGAAACATCTGCAAGAGGAGATGGACACTATGCAGAAATGGTCTAAAAACTTAACTTGGGCACAAGATCTCCAGCAAAACTTAACATCTCTGTTTCATGCAGTTACTACATATGAGAAGAGTATGGCTTCTGTAACAAAGAACTTTTCTGTAAAGATTGCAGCTGTGAAGACTGATATCAGACGCATTTCAGGTCTTGAAGCAGACATGACCTTATTAGTAGAAAGCCTGCATACTATTGAAGATAAAGTAGATAAAGCTGAAAAAACTACTGTACAGAGTATAGGGAGTCTTCTTACAAATAGCATAGACAGGACTGCAAAACTACAAAGTTCTGCATCTGAAAATGAAAGACAATTAACGTTCATTAGAACAAAATTGTCTGAACTAACTGCTGATATTGACAGACAATCAACTAAATTGCTGAATTTGGAAAGTGATAGAGCCAAAGTTTTGAAAACAGTAGCTTTTGCCAATGACTTAAAACCTAAAGTGTATAATTTAAGGAAGGATTTTGCACATTTAGAGCCAATGATAGATGAGCTAACATCAAGAATAGGAAGATTGGTTGGGGATCTGCTGGAAAGGCAGAAAGAAATTGCTTACCTATATAAGGAACTCTCTAATTTAACTTCCCTTCAGAAGGAAGTCAGTGTTGCAAACGAAGAAATAACCCAAGTTTCAAATTTAAGTTAGCCGTCTGATGCATGAAATCTCAACTATGGTAGCACAAAGCTTGATGAGCTAGTAGAATGCCTCCAAGGAAAAAAGATGTATTTACAGCAGAAAAAGTAGACCTAGGTCCAGAAGTAGGTAGTTAATTTATATGACTGAATTTATTTGATGAAGAATGCAAAGGGGTTTTTTTTGTAAGATTTGGCCTCATAGAGTTAGGAAAGAAAACATAAAAAGTACTTTTGTCAAACATCACATTTCAATAGAATCTTTAAAATGGTATGGGAGAAAGACTAAAAACTATGACATAGAGAGTTCAGCATAGTGCATCTGTATGTTTGGGGGGGGGGGGTTGACATAGAAAAGGATTCTTCTTTACCCAAGTTTACAATGAGCCCGTATGTTAAAACCATGGGCATAGCATCATCATTTTATTAGTTTCCATGATCAAACATCTCAGTTGTTCAGGGTAAAGCAAGACATTCTGCCCCACCCCAGAAGAGAATACAGCATACTTGTTGTATAGGCCTGCTGTGTCTTAGCTTTTTTTGGATGACTCTCTAGGTCTGAGGTGTCAAACATGTGGCCCGGGGGCCAGATGAGGCCCACAGAGGACTTCTATCAGGCCTGCAGTGGATCTGGCTGTCTTCTGCTTCTTCCAGTTCTGCTGCTGCTGTGTCATCATAGGTTTGCAGCTTACAGATACACACCTGAACAGCATACTCAAGATTGCAACAGCACAGACATTTTGATGTAGTAATTCAGAGCAAGAGGTGTCAGTTATCAGACATTGTTAAATAAACAAAATATTGCAAGAGTGCTAATGTTTTAAGCATGTTTTTAAGTTAAAAAAACACCTTTGTGTTTGTGTGCTTTATAAAGTTTATACCTCCGCTACCTGGCATTACACTTTATGACACACATGGCACGGCCCAACAAGGTCTCATTATGTCAGATCTGGCCTTCATAACAAATGAGTTTGACACCCCTGCTCTAGGTTAATGCTAGGCATTGCACCAAATATACAGATGCTCAGACTCTTCCATTAACCTAGCATTTGCAATACAGATGTTAAAAAATAGCCTTTACATGTATTTACATGGTAACCTATAAGGCAGCGAACTCAGCCACATTGCACCAAAGCAGCTTTGTGGTGCAACTGACCTTTATTGGCTATTACTGTTAATCTGCATTAGTTCTTTCCCTTCACCCATTTTAAAGATGGCTAATGTCATCTAATCAGCAGGCAGAATCATTTGCAGGAATGGATCAATATCTGTTTCCACTGCCATCAGGAAGCCGAGATTTCAAGTACAACATTAGTCACTCTAGCATGGTTTATTCTGACCAACAGTGACAGTGTCTCAAGTCTCAAGAAAGAAGGCTTTATTCTCCTACACATAACACATATAAAGTGTTTTGCTATCTGCCAGTCCATGATCCATTCATTCAGTAAGCCCAAGCTTTTTCTTCTTTATTCTTCAGAGATTCTGGCATCTCAGGTGGATGTGGGTGAGGAATCTGGCAATAAACTTTCACAGAATCATAGATGAACCACTGTAATGCTGTCAGCGTACCAACCATGACGATATGGGCAACAGACCCTTCGATACGCCTGTTGAACACAAGAGAAAAGTTTTAGTAATTTGTAGTGTTCATACCTCTTGCTCAGAGTGAAAGAGGAGAGCGCAAAAGTGGGCTTGAAGCTCAACATCAAAAAAACTAAGATCATGGCATATGGCCCATCACTCCTTTGCAAATAGAAGGGGAAGTCGTGGAAGCAGTGACAGACTTAATGTTCCTGGGATCCCAGATCACCGCAGGCTGTGACAGCAGCCATGAAATTAAAAGACGCCTGCTCCTTGGGAGGAAAGCGATGGCGAACCTAAACAGCATGATAAAAAGTAGAGACATCACCCTGCCAACAAAAGTCCGCATGGTCAAAGCAATGGTATTCCCAGTAGTCATGTATGGCTGCGAGAGTTGGACTATAAGGAAGGCTGAGTAGTTATGTATGGCTGCGAGAGTTGGATTATAAGGAAGGCTGAGCATCGAAGAATAGATTCTTTTGAACTATGGTGCTGGAGAAGAGCCTTGAGAGTCCCTTGGACTGCAAGATCAAATCAGTCAATCCTAAAAGAAATCAACCCTGACTGTTCCCTGGAAGGCCAGATAATGAAACTGAAGCTCAAATACTTTGGCTACCAAATGAGAAGGGAGCACTCATTGGAGAAGACCCTGATGCTGGGAAAGATTGAAGGTCAAAGAAGACGGGGACGGCAAAGGATGAGATGATTAGACAGTGTCATAGATGCAACGAACATGAAGTTGAGCAAACTTCAGAGGACGGCGGAAGACCGGAAGGCCTGGCGTGATCTGGTCCATGGGGTCGCGAAGAGTTGGACTCGACTGTGCGACTGAACAGCAGCAATAAAGTGTTCATACAGTTGCTTCATTCCAGCATCATTTGAATCCTCACCTTTGAAGCCAAGCCTTTTCAGTACTTCTAGAGCTGAACTGTCCTTTTTTCAGAACAGACACAACAGAATCAGCAGGATGTGAAACAATGGCACAGAAAATACCAGGTAAAGAAAAAAAGAAATTCAATTAATTTTCATTCTCATTATTTCATTCTAAATGGATACCTTTGTTCCGTGTTCCAAAAGTCACAAAGTATATTTCTCAAGATTTGGTCTTAATCACAAGCTTTTGATCCAGAGGGAACTATCTAAAAACAGACTGCCATAGACTGATCTTTGGACAAAAATGAAACCCGCCCGTCACCGTATTTAAATTACTTATTACTAGCTTTCTTGCCACCTCATGCAACACTAGGTAGTACAATACGCACATTCCTTTGAGCTATACATTTACTGCAACAGATTTCTAAAGTTGCTAAATGTTTCCTTACTATTGTAGCCTGCTATAAATGCAACCAGCTGTTCTGCCTTTGAACATTCACTTCTTGGTTTGGGAACAACATATTTGTATAAAGCTTCCGCTGTTCATTCAAAACATGCAAATTTCATCATTGTGTATGGAATCTGCTTCATCCATAAGGGAGCAACACCATTATAGAAACTTTAAAATAGAAAAATATATTGTACTTTTTGTCCTTCTGCTCTAGAATTACTCTGAAACAGACATGGGTCTGTGTTTACCCATAAATGCCTCACCATCTGAACACCCAGTTTCACATATTTGGCATGAAATGTTCATACTGACAAAAGCCTGCATCAGTACCTTATGCTTGTCTGTAACATTCAACAAACACATGGTAATTTATTTGTATCTTGCCAGAGATTGGATGCAACCCACAAGTCCCAGTGGAACTTGATGTCTGTGACTGATGGGCAGAAGTCCTCTCCGCTTTCTGTCAGTCACCAATCCCCCATATACCTGTTTGGTGAGTGTGCAGAGTAGCTAATAACCAATCAGACCTATGGATGTCTGGTGAAATGAGAAAAAGTTGTCAGTGTCAGCTCAGGTCAGAGAGTTTGCATTCCCAGAGTGCTAGCTGGGAGAGGACATGACTTGGGAAACGATCTAGATCTCAGAGGCTGCCTTGTGTGTAAGCAAGTTAAATCAGTGAATGCTTGTAAACAGGGTTTGGGCTTACAGAGTGGAAGGTTGATAATCCTCTCTCAAGAAACCTGAAGTCTCTGACTTTTTACAATAAAGCAGAGTGAATGTGTTGGGCAAGAGGCTGAAATTGTCTCAGGGCCCAATTTATAAAGGAAACAGTCTTAATGATTTGTGGTTTCTGAGGAGCTCACGGTTACACTGTGAGAATCCTGAGGTAAAACGAGGACAGTCTTAAGGAGTTGACACTAAAATATTTTAAAGCTTTGTGTTCTCTAAACCGTTTCTAGTCTCATTACTCAAACTCTTTATTTCTCCTATCCTGGTAGTGAATAAAAATGGTTGCTTTTTTAAAAAAATCCAATTTCCCTGATGTCTGATAGTATATTTACTTCAAATGAAGACAATCATGAATTTAAGATGACCCTATTAAAGTGTTATGCACCAAAAAAATATTAGACATACCTGTAACTTGTATATGAGTGTACTAACGGCACTCAGAAGGCCACTTGGGTTCTGTCTGTCAGGAGAAGTCTGTAGAGAACACCCTGGTCAAACTATGCAGCATGCCACCCCTTCTTAAATGGCCTTTAAAACTCTTGATGTTCAAAACATCCAACTTTTATAACTGCACAACAGCTCTTTCAGAGGCCATCCCTACTTAATCTTCAAAGAAATAAAAGTGTCCACGCTTCAGCCAAATTCTGATAGCAGAAATGGCATGCATATGCCACGTCTATCAGAACATAAAAAGCCAAGAGTGCAGGTATATTATTCTCACATGCCAATGACTCAAGCATCTTTGACTGTACAACAATAAAGTTGCTGATGCCTCTTAGCTGGAACTACTCACAACCAAAGTTATAAGCAGAACTCAGCACAAAAGACAACAAAAATGGATCTGAGGGAGCATGTTGGCCTCAGAAGTTTATTCCATTATCCATTTTAAGTCCCAAAAGCAGAATTTCCGGTGCTTTTTTAAAAGAACATTTCAATATTTTTTGCATTTCATTGTGGACTTTTGTCCAAAAGTCTACAGCTTTCTCACAAGTCCACCACATATGATAAAATGAGCCCTCATGCCTCTTACATTTCCAGCATTTGTTTGACATATTTTGATTCATATTTGCAATTTTCTTAGGTGTCATGTACCACCTATACATCATCTTATAACAGTTTTCTTTAACATTAGTACATGTCGAGATCTTAATAGAATTTTTCCACAAATATTCCCAGGTTTCCATAGCCACTTCCTTATTCATATTAATAGCCCATTTTAACATTTGTTCTTTAACAGTTTCATCTTCAGTATACCATTTTAACAACACCTTATACATTTTAGAAATATTTTTTCCTCCTCCACTCTCCCAAACCTTTTCAATTTCATTTTTTTCCTCTCTAAAACCATAGTTTTTTTTGTCAGATCTAAAAAGATCATAAATCTGCATATATTTCAACCACTCATATTCATATTCAATTTCATTCTGCTTTTTCATTACCCACTCTGTTCCCTCTTTTTTAATTAAATCTCTGTATGGCAAGCCTCCATGGAAGCAATGGAGAAGAGAATGACAGAGGCAATACAAGCCATGGGGGAGCAGATAGAAAAAACATTGGGGGACCAACTGGAGAAGCAAACTCAGATTCATCTGAAACATCTAGAAGAAGTCCAAGAGAAGAACATAACAGCATTGAAGGAATTGGTTACTACAGAAATAACTTCAATCAAGCAAGAAATGGAAGGAGTTAAGAAGGATGTTCAAGCAAATGCAACCAAGACTACAGAGACAGAGGAGAAGATACAAAAAATAGAAGAGAAACAAGATTCTTTGACTCAACAAATTACAAGATCAGAGACAATGATGGAGTTCAGAAGGATGCAGACTCATCTGAGATTCAGAGGCATTAAGGAAACAGAGAATGAGAACTTAAAAGAAAAAATGATGGAAGTGATAACGGCTTTTCTGGGCGAGGAGGAAGGGTCAATGGACTCAGACTTTGATTTGATTTATAGAGTGAACTCCAGAATTGCAGAAAAGAAGAATTTACCAAGGGATGTAATTGTACAATTTGTAACAAGATCAATAACAGAGGAGATATTCAAGAAGCAATTCAACGTCCCTTTTGTAATAGAGGGAAACAAAATTATGGTGATGAGAGAACTCCCAAGAACAATACTGCAAGACAGGAAAAGGTATAAATCCTTGGCGGACAAACTCAGAGCTTTGAGCATCAGATATAGATGGGAGATTCCACAAGGTTTATCCTTTACGTATCAAGGTGGGAGGATTCAGATCAGATCGATGATGGACTTTTATAAATTTAAGGCGGACAATGCGGACGTCTTTGGAGAACTTTAAAATAAAACGCATAATGGAGTACAAATTGTTGTCATGGAATGTTAATGGATTAAATTCACCAAACAAGAGGAAAAGAATCAATCATTGGATACAGAAACAGAAATGCAACGTGATATGCTTGCAAGAAACACATATTAGAAAACAGGATATAAAATATTTAAAGAATGCTTTATTTGGAATTGAATTTTGTTCTGCGGCCTCAAACAAGAAAAAAGGAGTTGTGACATATGTGAAGAAGGAGTTACAACCTACAGAAATTTTTAAGGACATAGATGGCAGATACGTGGGTGTGGAATTAATGATTCAGCAGAAAAAAACATTGTTGATCAACGTGTACGCACCCAATGGAGCAAAGGAAAAATTTTTTAAGGATATAACTGACCAATTACAACAATTGACTTATGAGCAAGTTATTATGGCCGGAGACTTTAATGGGACAATAGATCGTCTAGACAGAAAACCACAAAAGGACAACGAATTCAGCGGAAAATTGCCAAAGAATTTTTTTGAATTAGTTAAGCAAGAAAAATTAGAAGATGTTTGGAGGAAATGGAACCCGATGCAGAAAGACTTTACTTTTTATTCCAATAGACATTGCTCTTTTTCCAGAATTGATATGATTTGGATGTCTGAAGAATTATCAATGAAAACACATAAGACTGAAATTTTGCCAAGATGTAATTCAGATCACAATCCGGTGGTATGGAGTTCCACAGAAAGGAAAAAACCCTTTCTGTGGAGGATTAATGAAGACTTGTTGGATAAGAAAACGGTAATTGAGATGTTAAAGGAAGAAACGAAACAATTCTTTCAACAAAATTTAAATAAAGAAACACCGATACAGATTGTATGGGATGCTTATAAAGCGGTGATGAGAGGAATTCTCATCTCGCAAAACGTGAAGCAAAAAAAGGAAAAACTTCAAAAACAAACAGAAGTGTTAGAAAAAATTGCTCAGAAAGAAAAGGAATTAAAAAAGAAGCCTGGAAAAAAGCAAATTATTAAAGAATTAAAGTTGCTGAAGGAACAACTGAATGAGACTTGGAATCAGGAAATGTATTGGAATTTAAAGAAGTTACAACAGAAATCTTTTGAAGGGGCGAACAAACCGGGAAAATACTTAGCTTGGCAACTTAAGGCTAGAAGAGAGAGAAGAATGATAACCAAAATAATAGAAGATGGAAAAGAGTTCGTTGATCCTAATGGAATAAAGAGATGTTTCTTCAAGTATTATGCTAAACTATTCCAAACAACTAGAGTTGATCTTGAGAAGATTAAAACATATTTAAAGGAGATTCCACTACCAAAAATAAGTAAGGAATACAAAGATTTATTAAATGGTCCAATTCAAAAAGAAGAAGTGATGAAGGCAATAGAAGAGACAAAGTTGGGGAAGGCGCCTGGGCCGGACGGATTTACAGCGAAATTCTACAAAAAGATGAAAGAAGAAATTTCCCCGGTCCTGGAAGCTTTAACCAACGAAATAAGAGAAAACAAAAAGGTGCCGGACTCATGGAAAGAAGCAATTATTTCTTTGATTCCAAAGGAAGGACAAGATTCAACAAATGTAAAGAACTACAGGCCAATATCTCTTTTGAACAACGATTATAAAATCTTTGCAAAAATTATTGCAGAAAGGGTGAAAAACTATTTACAAACGGTAATTTCTGAAGATCAAGCGGGCTTTTTACCCAAAAGGCAGATTAGAGACAATGTAAGAATAGTAATGGACGCAATTGAATATTATGAAAAGCACCCAGAAAAAGAAGTAGCTTTTCTGTTTGTTGATGCAGAAAAAGCTTTTGACAATCTTAATTGGAATTTTATGCACCAGATGATGGAAAAGATTGAAGCGGGACAACATTTTAGAAATTGTATTGAAGCTATCTATTCTGAACAAAGAGCTAAAATAAATGTGAATAAAGAACTGACAGATAACTTCAAAGTACAGAAAGGAACAAGGCAAGGTTGTCCGTTATCACCGTTATTATTTATCTGGGTATTGGAAATACTTTTACAAAAAATACAGTACGATCAAGAAATAAAGGGCTTGACACATAAAGGACACCAATACAAATATCGAGCATTTGCAGACGATGTAATGTTTATGGTGGAAAACCCAACAGAAAAATTGACATTGCTTTTTCAAAAAATAAAGGAGTTTGGAGAATTGGCCGGCTTTTACGTAAATAAGAATAAAACAAAACTTATATGTAAAAACATGATCAAACAAAAACAAGTGGAACTACAAGAACTGGTACAATGTGAAGTAGTTAAAAAAACAAAATACCTTGGAATTGAATTAACGGCAAAAAATATAGACCTATATAAGAATAATTATGAGAAATTATGGACTAAGCTGACTCAAGATTTTAAGAAATGGGATAAAATGAACTTATCACTGATGGGAAGAATATCAGTTATAAAAATGAATGTCCTACCACGTTTGATGTTCCTGTTCCAAACAATACCAATTCTGCATAAAACGGATTTGTTGGCCAAGTGGCAACAAGAGTTGTCAAAATTTGTTTGGGCAGGCAAGAAACCAAGGATCAAAATGAAAATACTTTGTGATGCCAAAGAAAGAGGAGGTCTACAAATGCCAAATCTTAGACTATATTATGAAGCGGTTTGTCTAACATGGATGGATCAATGGGTGAAGCTTGAAAATGACAGATTGTTGGGGTTGGAAGGGCATGATTGTAGATTTGGCTGGCATGCATATTTATGGTATGACAAGATAAAAATGGACAGTTTTTTTAAACTTCACTTGGTGAGAAAAGCTTTGTATATGGTATGGACAAGATATAAGAAGTACCAGAGTGACTTAAGACCATTGTGGATTGTACCAGTAGAAGTGTTGATATCTTACTCAAGACAGCGAGGTAGAGACTGGTTGCCATATAGAGATTTAATTAAAAAAGAGGGAACAGAGTGGGTAATGAAAAAGCAGAATGAAATTGAATATGAATATGAGTGGTTGAAATATATGCAGATTTATGATCTTTTTAGATCTGACAAAAAAAACTATGGTTTTAGAGAGGAAAAAAATGAAATTGAAAAGGTTTGGGAGAGTGGAGGAGGAAAAAATATTTCTAAAATGTATAAGGTGTTGTTAAAATGGTATACTGAAGATGAAACTGTTAAAGAACAAATGTTAAAATGGGCTATTAATATGAATAAGGAAGTGGCTATGGAAACCTGGGAATATTTGTGGAAAAATTCTATTAAGATCTCGACATGTACTAATGTTAAAGAAAATTGTTATAAGATGATGTATAGGTGGTACATGACACCTAAGAAAATTGCAAATATGAATCAAAATATGTCAAACAAATGCTGGAAATGTAAGAGGCATGAGGGCTCATTTTATCATATGTGGTGGACTTGTGAGAAAGCTGTAGACTTTTGGACAAAAGTCCACAATGAAATGCAAAAAATATTGAAATGTTCTTTTAAAAAAGCACCGGAAATTCTGCTTTTGGGACTTAAAATGGAAGAAGTCAATACGACTAAAAAGACTTTACTCTGGTACCTGATAGTGACAGCGAGAATGATTTATGCTCAGTTTTGGAAGACAGAAAAGGTACCAGAGGTTGAAGAATGGATACAAAAAGTTCTGTTCATGGCACAAATGGATAAGATTACAAAAAAACTGAATAACAAAGAAGACGATGAGTTTTTTGGAGAATGGAATGACTTTAAAATTTATCTGGAAAAGAACTGGGATGTGAAACAAAACTTAATATGTTTAGATCAATATTAAGTCAAATGATGTTATCTTTAGATTGTAATGATGAGAAACTGATATTGTTGATGATATGAAGTAATTTGGAGCAGGGGTGGAAGCATTGTGGGAAGCCATTGGAGGGAGGGGAGGAACTGGGAATGGGGTAGACAATTGATAGAATGAAAAGTTTTATATGTTGTATTCCTGAGAAAATAAAAAATTTGTTTACCAAAAAAAAGAAGTTTATTCCATTATATGCAGATGACATGGTTCTTTTGTCTACTTCTCGTGTTGGATTAAACCATTTACTGAACCGTTGCCATGAATATTGCGTGATTAACAGATTGGAGTTGAATTATGAAAAATCAAAGGTATTAGTTGTTCCCTGTTCCCAAAAATCTTATGTGGATTATTAATGGCAACAAATTTGGAACAGGTTAAGCACTTCAAATATTCCCAATCTAATGCTACTTGGACCTACTGTCGCAGAATGGTTATTAATGTAGCTAAAGTTAGTGCTGCAGCAATTTCTCGCTTTTATTTTTCTGTTCGAAGTAACCAGTATGCGCCAGCTGCACTTAAAACCTTCAATGCTAAAACAGGAGCTCAATTACTGTATGGGGTACCTGTCTGGATTGACGCAATGGACATTTCAGTTGAACGTGTCCACTCTACCTTTCTGCAAAAGATCATGGGGGTACCTATGTGTGTTCCATATGCCACTTTATGTTTGGAGTGCGGTCAGAATTTGTTGGCTACTAAGGCATGGATCCACACTATTACATTTTGATTATGACTCCATTTCAACTCTGACCCTTTCAGTTATACGTACCAACTACTTTCTGAATCTGTTAATTCCAGCTGGCTATCTTACATCGAAGCCAAAATAAGTTCCCTGAATTTATCTCTAGAATCCTTATTTTTGCTTTCTGAGTCTGAGGCCTTTTTAAAAATAAAATCTAGTTTATTGGGATCAGAGCTACAAACTCTTTATAGCCTGGCTAATAGAACCTGTTCTCCCTTAAATTTGGGGATTGTTCCTAATGCAAACCTTCCAGCAGTATACCTCTATCAACTCATAGCTCCAAATTTGTGTAGAGCCATATACTTGGCTAGATTTAATGTTCTTCCTTCAGCTATCTTATCTGGCAGATTCCAAGGGATTCCCTATCCTAGCAGGTGCTGTCCTTGTATGCAGGACTGTGTTGAAACTGTTGCCCATGTTCTCCTCCAGTGCCCTCTCTATCTGGCATCCTGTCAGGATCTTCTATATCCCATATTAGCCCAATTTTTAGAGACCCCTGATGATTTTAAGATCCTTTTCTTGCTTGATAATCCAGATACAGAGATAACTGTAGCAAAGTTTCTTTGCAGTACCATGGTCTCACGACCTGATAAGTAATACTATGAATTAGGTTTTATTATGATGCTACTCTTATTATGATGTTACTTTATGATGTTCCTCTGCAATTTTAATTTTACTCTGCACGATTTTGTATTTAGATTACTGTATCTTCATATATATGCCAATAAAAGACTTTGGATTGGAATTGGTTGGCCTCAGAAGTGCTTCAATTTGTAAGATCATCCACAATTTAACTATATTGAGAACTAAACCTGGCATCAACTATCAAACAGATAGACCACCTTTGAACTATCAAACACTGAACCTTGGCTTCGTTGGTGCCAATACTGAAATCCAAGTCTTGCTCCTTTTTCGTTACTAAGATTATCACACCTTATAATGTAATACTCATCCTATTTCAACATGCAATCAAACCTGAATTTGGCATTTAATGAGATCTAAGGGAACCAAAGCCGTGTGTATTTTACCACAACTAATAATCCCACCAAGGCCACAAAGAATGAAGAATCTGCCAGAGCCACAAGTACAGCTAGTCTTTTGTTTAAGTGAAAAAGAAAGATACAAGTGGCAACCTGCAAAAAGTGGCATTTCATTATTCAAGTTAAGTAATCTTTTAGTAAACCCAAGCAAGTTTTACTTTTCCCTGAACCATGTTTGAGTTCCGGAAATTCATAAAATGATGTAAGGGATGCATGTTTTATACATTTTTGCTTGCAGATGTTGTTATATGTTTTTCCTCACAAATAAAATATCACATCTATGTCAACATTTCCCTAGATACAAGCAGAAATTTTAGCATTTCTTTACAAAAGCCATTTTAGGATAACATAATGTATTCTATTTTAAGAAAAGAACACCCTTTAGATACACAGCTTCACAACTGGATTCAGTAGGGAATGCAATAAAATTGTCTCACTGCCAAAAGTAATGTAATTGTGTGTTGATCTATAGCCTAGCAGTTACTGCTACTGTTAGGAAGGTGTGATGTCTAGCAAGATTACGTATGTTAGAGCATGGATCAGACAACTGATTTTCCAGAGAACAAAAATTCTTAAGCTTCTACTCATCTATTTGAATAATATAGGAAAAGGCAATAGTGTATGTTTAGTCACAAGGTACATTGTGCTTAAAATGTTATTTATGTGCTGGATAAATATGCATCTATGTATCTAATAGCTGAGTTGCCCCCTCCATGTGGATATCTAAATCTGCACATCGGGGTCACTTGGGGGGCAGAGAGATTTTCTTGCACACTTGGAGCAGTCCCCAGGTGTGCAAGTTTAAAAAAACTATACAGGGGATACTTAAATCCCCCCCAAAAGTAAAAAAAAGCATTCCCTGCGCATGCACAGAGAATGCACTTACCTCTTGGATCTGTGGCAGAGCCACGCAGGGCTCGCCACCATTGGTGCTGGCGGTGGCAGCGGCAGGGGGGGAGCCTTGATAGGCTGGCGGTTAGAAGCCACGGCTGTTGTTGCTGCTGTTGACAGCGGGGGCAAGCCGGGTGGGCCTGGTGGCTCAGAGCCGTGCAGGGCTCATCAGTGTTGCTGTTGTGGGTCACAGCAGCGGTGGGGAGAACCATTGGCGGCTTGGGAGCCGTGTGGAATACTCCCCCCCCTGTGAGTATTGCAGGTCCCGCTTCTTGGGCTCCATTTGTAACCATCTATGAAGCTCTATGCACTACAGAACTATGACTGTATAAGCCAGGCCTCCATTTCCCCCCTCTGCTGCTACAGCTGCAGAAGACCACCAACCATCAACACCAAAAAGAAGGGTTAGTAATGGAAGATTTCAATTTTCTATCACAGCTGCAATAAACTCGGTTCTCCCAGATTAGAGTTCGTGCACTTAACCACTACACCAAACTGGTGAATCAATAATTCATGTGTATACATGGTGTCCATATTATAATGATCAAGCACAGCCTGGGAGCAGACTACTGTGCACAATTATGGATGAGAACCATTCAGGGCTGGCCCAAGGGTTTTTTGTGCCCTAGGCGGGGCTAGCTTGTGGTGCCCCCCCTAGTTGAGGTTGTCTTGTGGCGCCCCCCCCATGTATGAGCTGCTGCTAACCAGGGGGTGTTGCCAGCGGTGCTCCAGGCAGCAGGGGATGAGAAGGCTTCCCAGCCTCTCCCCCCCCTTCCCCTGTCATTCCCGAGACAAAGCTGGATGTGGGCAGTCGCAGACGGCTCCCTCTGCCTCCCCCTCCTTCCTGCCAGTGGCGCAGGAGGCGCCATCAACTTTTCATTACTACTACTGCCACCAGTGAAAGATCTCTAACTGGCAGGATGCTGGACTAGATAAACCATTGGTCTGATGCAGTAGGGCTCTTCTTATGTTCTTACAGTACTTTTACTTGACTTAGTTAAAAATTGATTTTTAAATAATTTCCCAAGTATTTTTGTTTTATTCTTTCTGGCTCCCTGTATGACAAACTGAGGAATGTGAGGATGTTAGAAGATATTTTAAGATTATCATTCCAAACAACAAGGAACCCAGAGGACTGACTGCAAATGCAGAATTCCCTTCTTTGTAAGTAACCTGTGGCTAATACTGCCACCTAGTGTTATATAGTATGTTATATAGTAAGACAGTAGTATGACAGAAGAGATTCTACTTAAATACTTGACTTTATTAATGCCACTTTTTGATGAGACTAGCACTTACGGTTAAAAATAAGTTTATTGCAATTTTGTATAGAATAAGCAGTAATATTAAGATCCCATCTGTGCTGTAAATTGATATATATTTCATAATCCACACTAAAATGAATTATTAAAACAAATTATGGCAGATTAAAATAGCTGCATCTGTAAGCAGCAATTTTTAACTGCAGTTTATCACAGTAAGTATAACAATGCCCTTTTCATACCACAAGAACGAAACATCTTGGAATATGAACATCCATGATGCCCCAAAATGACAAAATACCATTTTAAAATTAAATCTAAATGCAACATAAGGTTGATCTACGTAGAAATAGTTGGTTTTCCTTCAGAACATAATATTTTCAGACTGGTTAAGACTTATGTGCAGTTAAAATTCAGTATTTTAATTATTCAGTAAAAAAATCAATGTATTTTAACATAAGCTTTATTTCACACAATTTTACTAATAAATAAGTTTGTCTATAAGGACACCCACCTATTTATCAATTAGATCAGTAATTATGAGATTAAGCATTAAAATAGGAAAGGATGATTAAAAAATTGAGGTTGATCTTAGGAGTTACTACAGCTGAAACTAAGACAGAAATGTATACAATAGGTTTACAGTTGTTAAAATATTACAGTATTCTATAAAATGCCAATTTCCCCCCTTAAAACTACTACACACTATACCTAGCTGCACAGGTTAGCAAAATGCACCCAAAAATGTATTTCAATTTATTATCTTAGCCCCACCCCCCCGGAACAATATGCCAAGTAAAGAAAATTTCAGTACAGAATCTTTTTAGTATGAAATAAAAACATTTAAACACGTCTTCACATTTTACTATCACTTTTGCCCATTTGAGCTTCCAAAGCTTGCAAATACAAATGTACAATCTCAAATGAATGTAATGATGTCCACATTAAAAAAATAAATCCTACAAGAAGTTCCAGAGATCTAAAAGTACTACTCATGGCACAAAGTGATCTCCTAGTTCCAAACAAAAGTTAGTGATGTCCACTTACATGGTCTTATTTTTCAATTTCTCACGTTGCTATCATTATCTGTATGCAGTCTTTGAATAGATGAGGAAAGGTCTGACAAGATCTCTACAGTTAAAATAGGAGACCAGGTTGTGTATGCCATATAAACACTCAATTGGTAGTTGCCTGAGAGTCACTTTTCATGAATTGGGAGAATGGATTTCCTTGGTTGGTTTCCATAGACTGATAGACCAAAAACAAGAAGACTGAAACAATAACGAAAAGCAGAATTTTTATCCACATAGGAATGGAGCGTTTTTTAATGGTTGGCTGTTCTGCCTTGGCATCTGCTGAGGCACCATATTTGGTGATATATTTTGATGAATAGGTTTCTTCCAGTCTGAAGTCACCAAGCTCTTTAGGTCGACCAGCAGCTCCTTTGATTGGTCTACGACAGCTAGCACTGTTAATTAAGAAGTAACAGTATGAGTCATCCCTGCCTTTAGCATTAGATGTTTTGAGTAAAGATGAAGACAAAATGCTTTGGTTCACTAAAGCTAGCCAAACAACACCTTATTAGAAGTTTAAGATCATTCCCAATCTATTGGTCACATTCAGGTGTCACTAACCTTCTTTAGTTACAACCACAAAGCCAATTTGCCATACTTGTGTGTGTGTGTGCCCCCCACAGCAACTGAAAGCTTCTTTTCCCCCCAAACCAATTTGCCATGACAATGAATTGCAGGTATATGACTACCTTTGTATTTCCTTTCTCCCTACAAATGAAGAATCTAAATTGGAATTAAACCATGGTTTAGAATTCTGGTTTATGGAGAGGAAACAGTTTATCCAGTATCAAAGCAAATTGTATCTTGATTAAGCAGAGTCAGTGTTCTGCATGCAAGTGGGGGAGGTCGGGCCAGCCATGAACTTACATAGATTTGCTGTGATGTCTGAAGACAAAACAGTTTGGATTATACACAGAAAAAGGCATTCTAGTGAATGTATGTTCATTTTATACCCCAACCGAATACATCTCTAACACAGAACATGTTAGATCATCACATCTTTACAAGCCAACCTGCACCCCCAGCCTTTGCACAAAGATCAACTGAAAAAAAATCTATTTCTAAAACTTGCTTTTTAACTGTACATGGACCAAGATGTAATGATTGTCTCTTGATATCTCACACATCTGCAATACAATATATACTCATCCAAAGGCATTAATTGCTGACAAATAATATTACTTTTATATAATGACTGTTTTGCACATTCCTCTTTGTCTGAAGTACAAGTAGGCTACTTTTATAGGCCTGAAATGTCTAAATTCCCCACTGTAGAGCAAAACTGCTCAGCACAATAGTTTACACAATTCGTTACAAGCACATTCAAGGCACAAACAGCCGCAAGGACTGTTTTAGACTGAGGAAAGTGGCTTAACCTCACCTACTGTCACAGTTACAATTGGAATTGGGACCGCCTTTTGCAATTTGGGGTGGGAAGAGGAGGAGAAACACCGGAAGATCTATTCACAGAACTCCCAAGAGACACATTTTTATCCCATCTTTCCAAGAAGGACCTCAGATTGGCATACATGGTTATTCTCCCCCTTCCTTTATCTTTACAAGAATCCATGGAGTAGGTTAGGCTAAAAGAGAGTGACTGACGCAGGGTCACCCAGGAAGCTTTATGGCAAAGTAAGAATAATCTGAACTTGAGACTCCCTGCTGGCGCATGTTAAAAAAAAAAAATCAAAAAAATCTAAGGGTGCAATTACAAGTTTCCTGCAAAGCATTACTAGACTCAAACAAGGCAGCTTCAAAAGACTGTGTGAGGCATCCTACAAAGCCATAACAATCACCTTTTCTGTTGTGGCATATATACACACACGGAAAAACAAGTATTGGCATATTAACCGAGAAAACTAATGCCACAAAGGCTTTTGATATATATATATGTGACAAATTCCATCGATGGAATGGTATTAGTGAGTGTACTAGGAATGAACCATTTACAACCACCTGTAAAATACCTTATTTACCTCTCCACCAATGTTCCCTCTAAGCTGTGGAGTCCTGTGAGCAAAAATTCTACTTTGTGAGCTGCTGGCATTAAAGTTGTGAGCGAGCGATTTGGCCACTGCACACATTAATTTGCTCTGGAGCCATCCTTCCTAAGCGAAGACAAAAATGTGTGAGCCGGAGGCTAAAAAAACTCTGAGCTAGCTCACACTAACTCAGCTTAGAGGGAACATTGCTCCCCACCACACCCAAGATGAGCTCTGGGTAAAATAAGAGCCATCAAGATACCAAAACCAATGTCAGGAAAGTAACTGAACAGCATGCGGGAAAAAGACATACTTTCTGCATCTAGATATTGTCAGCAAGCTGCCATTCTGTTTTCTGTGACCTCTGTGTACATATCCTTTCCCTGTTGCACCCGGCTTGGTTTCTATCATCCTGCTCCTGCGTTGGAATGCAAAAGATAACTGCTGGAGGTTGTGTGGGGGAGAAGATGCTGTAATGCTTGCCTATTGCTTTTTCCCATGAGTACTGCACCTGTGTTTTGTCTGATGTTCTGCCTGGTTCCCATGGACTGGGCGCGCAACTGTTTCTTTAGCCCGCCAGCGGGAAAGCTATTCATTGGATCTGTATCTGTTTGAAGTTCCTTTATTATGCTTGACCTAACTGTGTATCCCCAGTTCTAACAAAGAACGTGTTTGAGTATGTCTTCAACGCTTTGAAATAAATTTTGCTTTTCTTGAAA